GTGTGCGCCAATGAGGAACCCCGGTAGCCATGCTAGCCGTTAACCAAGGCCGCCCTGCAAGGGATGAAAGTCTAGGAGTGCTAAGGTTAGGCACCCAAGGAGGTCGACCACCCCTCCTCAAAGAGTACGTTAAGTTTTTGGTGGTCTGCCTGAAGATGACATCAATTCTCCCAAAAATCTTACAGGCAAAAATGACGGTGATGTCCCTAGCGTAAGCCTACCAAGCATAGGCAAGGCTAAGCCTGTGTCAGACCGTAACAGGAGGGTGGCGCCTCCATTTTGGATCCGTTGTCGTGATGGGTGAACTACAAACCTCGAACCAGGAACAGGATGATGATGATCACCAGGTATCGTCATCATCAAGTGCTGCAAGCGCCGACTATGATAACATATCTTCACAAATCACAAGAAAGTGATGAATTGCCATTGGCCTTATCAATGCACTTGAATTCATCAGAGATAGATCATACAGGCTAACAAGAGTTTTTGATTCATTACTGCACCAGCTGGTTGGATCTGGGATGAAGAACAAGATGGATAAACACACCTCGGGAAGTTTTCGTTTATTCTTTTTGTTTCTCCCATCTCTGCATTTCTATGATCTCATGATACATCTTCAGAGGCTCCGTATTTGTATCATTCAGTTGTTCTTCGATATTCATATCTAAAGCCACCAGATCCTAATCCTCCTGCAGATCTGCAGCCCAGATAGATTAGATGTGTGTGTAGAAAATTCTATTGATTTTAGATCTTGCAATTTTTCGGCACTCAAATATGTTTCCTGGGTTCATCTTAATTGCAGCTCTTCTCTTTCTTTGGAAGATGGGTTAATACATCAAACTAAACCTACAGATCCATTTATTATAGCCCATCAGGCCATCCTCTCTCTTTTCTTGGCAGAGAATTCATCTATATCAGCATAGAACATGAAATCCATTCACAGTTAACCTCCTTATCACCCAAACTCCTCTACATTTTTCTCTCCATTCACAGTTAACCTCCTTATCACCAATCGGGACCAGTAATGACAACAAAATAGCTTCCTTTGATTCAAAACTTGTGCCCATTTGTAGATTCTGCAAACATGGCGGTGCAGTTTCCAGAAGGGAGCTTCTGGTTTTTTGCATAGGTTTTGAGTACACAAAACCATTATAGATTCTGCAAATATACCAATGCAGGATTGAATAGGGATGGCAACAGAGCACCGGGGAGAATTTTGTAAATTTTAGACCTTACCCGCCTTCCTAAATTTCTCAATCCGTACCTGCCCCAAAACACTTATGGGTTGGATTTTGAGAATCCAAACCCTCCTCTCCCCGTATGTGAAAATACAAAACCCTCCCGAACCTTAACCCCCCCCCTCCCGGCATTCAAGGGTAGGGGTGGGTTAGGCATCTAATTTCCTATTATTTTTTGTCATATATAAACAATAAATAAGTAAAATAACATAAATAAACAACAAAATTTCTAATTATTTGATTAATACATGTAGAGAACGCTTAAACTATCAATTACTCTTCATATAAAATTCAAAATATTATTAAATTCTACACCTAGTACATAAAATGTATATATTTTCCAACAATATGCGGGTTGGGAGGGTCAGTTTTATCTTAATACCATACCCTACCCATACCCATCCTTCAAGGAAAAAAAAAAAAAAAAAAACCTCCCATCAGGGAGAGTAGAGTAGAAATGGCCATCCCTAGGATTGAAGGAGAGGTCATAAGTCTGCTTCTTTTTTCTTTTCTTTATTGTGAAGTTTTGCTAGCAGTTTTGGATGCTTGACTCTTTGTTAATATACAACAACTTGGGATGACCTAACCTTGTAGAAAAATCGTTCAAGGTAGTATTTCCTAGATAAGGTTCCAACCCCGCAATTAAAATGGTGTTCCTTTCCCTTTTCTGGTCAGCCATTAAAATGGAAATAGAATAGAACAGATGATAATTTGATGCTTCATTTCATATTCTAACCTCTCTACAGTGTGGATTTCTTTCAACTGTAGTCTAAGCAAAACTTCCAATCTATGTATTAGAAAGAGGAAAGAGGGAAAGTAAAGGGTCGTCTCACCACAGAGCTCAAACGGACCTCTCATTTCTTGGTTATCTATTTTTAAATTAAATCATTAAAAATATAAGAAGCCACATCAAAACCCTTTTATGTCTTATTTTTTCTCTTATAAAATTCATCACTGCTAATTGGCCAAGGTGGTGCACTGGGTTAAGTTATGGAGCTATTCTCTGCTTATACACATGATGATTTGTGGAGGAAGTGGAGAGAAATTGCAGCATCTTCATCAAAGAAACCAAAGGTTTATATTCCTTGGATGTTGGACACCATCTGAGGGATTCATCAAGCTAAACTTTGATGGTAGAAGTATTGGAAACCTGGGCCCTTCAGGTTGGGAGGGTGTTTAGAAATGTGCAAGCGTTGTTATGTTTTCAGGACCAATTGGCCATGGGAAGTGGGAACTCTGAAAGGGCTGAGCTTCTTGCAGTGTTACAGGGATTATAGCAGGCAAGAGAACTGAATATCACAAAACTCATCATAGAAGGTGATTCTTATGTTGTAATTTGTTGGCTGCAAAATGGTAATAAAGCAGTTTGGGGTTACAGAAATGAACTTAAACAGATTGAATACAAGGAACATGGCTATAAAGACACAATGGGTGCACATTTCTGCAAATAGGTTAACTGATTATTTAACTAAGCAAGGGGTTAATAGGGATCAATTGTATTGGGATTTCTTGTAACAACTACTTGATATTGGGGTAGATCAGTAATTGCTACCCTACCAAAGGTTTGTAATATTTTCACTTTTCTGATATTAATCAATAAAATACTTCAGTTATTCATCAAAAATAAACACCATTACTCTCTATAGACGGGTTGGGTCAACTTAAGAGTCAACCCAAGACTAACCCTGGCCTGGACCCAAATTTGCCAACCCTACTCTAATCAGTTTTTTATTCAATCCCATGCACATAGGTTTACTTGCTAGTATAGTAATTGAAGGAGACCATGTTGCTCAAACAGTACTTGTTTTCAGGAGAACATCAAGTTTACATTATCTACTTAAATAGGTGTCTCTAGTGTTTGATTGCTAAATAAATAACTAGTTGAGAGTTGATGTTTCATTTCCTTCTAATTCAGCATGATACTTTTTTTTTTCAATTCGTGCTTTTCGTTTGGAGTAGAGGTCAGTTGTAATTAGGTTGGCGTGTAGACAGGTTTTCAATTCCAGATATAGACAAAATTTATAACAAACATGGGTTGCCTCATACAGATGACCTATCATATACAAACATGAGATTAACCTTCCTTCCCCCCTCTGGATTTGTGATAATCCTTGAATAAGCACCATGTCTTCATCAACAGTGTAGATTACAAAGTAGACATCATAAGAAGGATCAAGAATGATCTGGTCCCAACGCTACTTCGTTTATTTTCAGCGGAATAAACCACACGGAGCCACCAAATGCATCAGACATTCCATGACTAGTGTAAGATGATTAATCGAAGGCACAACTGAGATGCGATCAAGACAACCAAGTGATTACAATGTACAACAAAAAGTTCACTGAATGCGAAATCAACATCTGCTAGGCAAAAAATAATAGCAGGATCAATGATTAATATCAAAGAAATATACTCCTTATCACCAGCCAGGTTGCTATTTAACATAAGAAAATGGTACAACTGTTTCTCTCTTCAGTTAAACATAAATGCATCCGTTGTCTTCATCAGAGCTCAATTAATAAATATTTCAGGTCATTGATGTAAAATGTAACCCTTCCCCTGAACAGTGAACTGGAAAAAACCAACAGTCAACAACTGTAGCTGCTACCAAGACATCATTGTCCCCTGTACAATGTTGGGGATCTGGTGGTATTTAATACATTAGACCACTTGTACACCACATTTGAAAATCATCTGTGTAGTTCAGCCTCATACCAAAAGAAAATTAATGCACCACCAATGCAATCAAGCAGAAACCTATGTTTGGACCATGCACTTTTCTGCTTTCGTATAAAATAAATAAATTGAAACAACACTAAGCTGACTATTGCTTATATGAAATATGGAAAATCAGGAGGAAGTCTTATGAAGTCTTTTCTGCAGGAGTTGATTTAAAAATGCAGAGCAACAATTTATTACATTCAGCTACCCTTTTGCAGCTAAAATTCATTGGATATTTCATTTGAAGCAACAAAAAAAAGAATATATGTCCCTGTAACAAAACTAACTCTTTATTAAGAGTCAATTTGACCCATTGTACAGAAGCAATCCCTCACAGAATAAAGTTTGAATACAAGACTTGGAGCAGAAGATCCCAGACCCAGTTTAATTCATCTCCGATTGCTCAACCTTGTCGATTCTGAAACCTCTAATCCTTACTTCTTCAGAAATTGAGGTGTCTTTGTAATCAACTTTTTCCAGGACCCAACCCTTGTTTTGCACAGAACCTCCTACTTTTACCTGTTAAATAACAGATATTGCCATCAGTACACATTCAGTACTTTCTTCCACAAATTTTCTTCTATATAAACACATGCTGGCTGATTGTGTGTGTGTGTGTGAGAGAGAGATATATATGAGTATGTACCTCTGCATCTTCAACTGAGTTGACAATGAGTGTTCCATCCAAAGTGAGATCCTCAAGGAAAATGTTGCGGCCCTTTATCACCATGGTAGACCTCTGAGTGATGGAGCAGTTCCCACCCACTTTGCTTCTCACCTCTGCAAAGGTCAGTGCCCATTTTGGTTTCCATACAATTCGAGGCCACACTTCAACCTCTTGACCATTGAATACCTCAATTACAGGATCATCTATCTTGACACCAGCCTGGTAAACAAATAAGAATGGACCAAACACATTAGAGAGCACAATTATGATTTTTTTATAAGTAAGAGCACAATTATGATTATATTAATTGATTCCTTCCTATCAAAGAACCAAGTCTAACAATGGGAAAACCAAAGGTGAAGTCTGAATTGGATATAACAACACCACCTAGCATGTGTTTTGTCAGTGTTTGACGGTGAACCCTTGGACTCTAATGAAGTGTTTGATGGGTGATTACCAATGGCTATATATACAAGGGCCATTGCTTGTTTTGATAAATAAGAGCACAATTATGATTATATTAATCAATTCCTTTCTATCTCAAACAATGGGAAAACAGATGATGAAGTCTGAACTGGATATGATAACTACAACACCCAGCATGTGTTTTGTCAGTACACAGGTTTGACTCTGAGAGTGGTCACTTTATGAAAAAAAAAATTCCAAAGGTTAGGCCCTCATCCAGCACACCCCTCCAAAACCCCAGATAGCTGGGACCAACATTGGGTGTATATATAAAATAAAAGAAAAATATATTAAAAAATAAATAAACTACATAAATGTTAGGGAGTACTGATAAACACTCGAAAACAAAACTGAAGGCTTAAAGAAACAAAGGATCACCCTGATAACAAATACAAATAACGGAGCAAAAAAAACACCCATGATCAGTACCCACAACCATGGTCACAAGGTATCGGACAAAGCAAGCCAAATAAGCAACAACAGCCATGACAAAATACATGTTCACAGGTCACCCCTAACCAGCTTCTTTACCCAATGAACCACCTCCTGCTCTCCTCTTATCCTTGTGTCAGCATTGATCTCTCCCCCTCTTTCAATATCCTAAAGACAGCACATGCCACCTCCTGACCTTCAAGGAAGAACAAGCCTAAAGATTTGGCTGTAGCAACCTCACAGTCCACCACCTGGTCTAACAGAAATGACTTATGACTTATTCACCAGATAGACCTTGGCAACTTGGATCCCCCCAATCGTCACTATCAACCTCCTCTCAGTCATGGTTTCAAATGTCGCTATTGTCGCCCGACATGAAAATGGATGGTAATATAAAAGTTACATTATTTCGGTCGACATTTCCTATATTTCGGAAATGTCAACCAAATCGGTCCAAATAACCAAAAAAAGACAGTTTTTCCTATTATGTCGACGGGATGTCAATAATGTCAACAGGATGTCAACTAATTTACATTAATAATATAATATATTAGTATATTATATTATTATAATACAGTATATTAATATAAATTATTCCATTAATAATTTCTATTTAATATTTCAAATAAAATATTTATAAAAAAATTAACAAAATATAAAAACAAAAGAATAAATTAATTACTTTATAATATAAAACATAAAATATTAACTAGTTAGTATTTTTTTAAAATATTTATTAAAATCAGAAAATGTTTATTAAATTTTATAATAAATCATATTCTACATTTAATATAAAAATCAGAATAAATTTATTAAATTTTATACTRAATCATAATTTATTATAAGTTTAGTATTAAAAATCATAATAAATTCATTAAGTTTTATAAGAAATCAGAATTTATCATAATCTTAATACTACAAAAAGGAGGATCAGTTTATTAAATTTATAATAAAACATAATGTATTATAACTTTAATATTTAAAAAATCAGAATAAATGTTTTCTATTTACTAGTGTGAAATAAATATATTAGAATTTATAATAAATCAGAATTAAAAATAAGAAAAGAAAATATCAGATAACCTTGTAAAAACATCAAAATGCATAATAAATCAGTAAATCATCATTTACTAGTTTGTTATTGATCTTAGTTTCTTAGCTTTATATAATGGTTGGAAATAAGATAAAAGTCTAGAAATATGTATTAATGCTTCTTTTATCATTTGACAAAATATCATTGCATATTTCCACATATTTCATAATATTTCCACGATCTCTCTAATTTTTACAATATTTCCCCTCGACATTTCCGACATATGTCCTAGTTAGCCTAAAAGAAGGAGAGAGAGGAGGGCAAGGAAGGAGAGATACCACTTAAAAGATTTAAAGCATAGATTTAAAATTACATAGTAATGGTGTAACTCACAAGTGCAACCTCTACAGATCATAGCTGTCAATACAATTTACCTTTCCTTCAAAAAATACAATTTACTTAGCTTTCCATATTTTGTTTTTACTGAATCTACTAGTCATCGGACTAAGTCAGCATTGCAGTTGAAGCAGTCAATGTGGTAATCTTCACAAAATAAGCCCTCTCTCATTGACCCACATATATGCATGTTTATTCATGCAAATACACTTCAATGGATTTAAGAAAGGAGTCAAGTTCAACTAAACCTAACTCAGCCTACCCAACTATTTGGGAACAGCTACATGAATCATGTCCTGCTATTATGCTCTATCGAAAGCCATGTAAGAAAGGAATCGAAGAATATATTTACACTTCCATTGAAGGAGACTGTCGAACATTAGGAAATTAACTATTGAAGGAGATTCAAAACCAGTAATGGGGTGGTTACAAAGTGAAGAAATGAAGCTGTGGAACTACAACAGTGAGCAGAAAAGGTTTTAGTGGTTGACCATATACCAAGGATATGGAAGTGAGAATAGAATGGGTTAAGATAAATGCAAACTCCTTTTCAGATGTGTTGGCAAAGCACGGAATGGGAAGAGAAAATTTGTTTGGAAAGATGAAAAGGATAAACAGTTACAGCTCGGGGATACCATATAATCAATTTTCAGTTTCAGCCTAAAGTTACAGATCCAGTCCCAGGCCTGGTATCCCCCAATTGACTTTCCAATTCACTCTTGTCCTGGCTGGAAAACTAGCAAATCCATTGACAGGTCTGGGTGCCCATATGAACAAGCACTTCAGGATGGAAGCTAAGGCCTTGGTTTTTTTTAATCCAGTGTCTCATAGACCAAGGGCTGAATGGGTGGATTCTAAAAAGAACTGTTATGATAATTATTTAAAAATGGCACATCCAAACTGAATATACTATGATCAGGGCTTTCCATAAATACAATCAGATGATTGAGTACCTTTCTGAGAATGAGATTGTTTGCCCGATAGATAGCCATTTCTCCAGAAGTTGCACTGTGGTATGGATTTCCCTTTGGTACCTTCAATTTAATTGGACCAAACTAGAGGTTAATATCATTTAAGCATGTGAGTTCACAAACTTCTAACTAGCATGGCAATAAAAGAGAATCAAAAGAAAGAACTTCTAGATTATTTGTCCACCTAGGAAGGAAATTAGAAGCCAAGAATATACAAAGTTTTAATTATAAAAAGAAAAAAAAAAGAATATACAAAGTTTTAAGCATAATAGATGAGACGTAAATTTAAAATGGAAACTACAATAACCATCACTATCATTTCCTCCTTGCTATCTGTAGTCAGCAAAACAAATCCCCTTGTTCATTCCAATCTATCTGTAGCCATGTCTTATGTCTACCGGTACACATAGTGCCTTTTTGAACTAGGTAATGTATTGTATTAATCACTTCCAAAACATGTACATGTATGGATCTGTACAGAAGCAAGCTAGAGGAGGGACAGAATCCCCTCCCACTTTTTTTTACGCATACCCACCCAAATGTACATGTTTTAACTTCTCTTTCACAGTCCTCACTGAGATCAATGACTTCATCTCAGCTAATTTGGTCCATGAATTTGTTATTCCTTGAAATCTAAATCTTTTGCACAATAAACAGTGGTCAAACTGCAGCTTTGTTAATTCCCCCTTCGGTTCAATCTCTATGCATTATCCATCTCTATTTTAGCTAACTCAGTTCCTAATGGCCATAAGGGGATTTGGAATAGCAGGCTAGCAGCTCACATTCATCATACAGAGTGTACTCCTGCTGGACTGAACATGTGTTAGCTAAAGTTGGTTCCAAAAGAAGCATCACTTTGCCATTTCGGACTCGACTCCTCACACAATATTAGTCAATGCATGCTAATGTTGTTACATCAGGCTAGCATAAGCAACTTCTGTCAAATTCTCTCAAGAACTCACATTTGATGTTATGCCAATAGCAGGACTAACAACAAGTTGGGCTATTCTAATTGATTTGATCAGATCAAATTCTCAACCCCCTAACCTTTCTGAAGAAATTAGTCAAGAAGAAACAAAGAAATGCAGCATGCATGACAAATATAAACAATATCATAGTTTTTGAGAAAAAGAATTGTGTACCTTAGCAGCATCTTCAGGGTTGTTCTTCACAGGTGCATAAGCAAGCCATGTATCCATCACCTGAAAGGTCAAATAGCAGCCCATTATTTGACAATAGTTCTGGACATGATACAGATTAATAATTTTAATTTGATTTTAAGAAATAAAGCAAAAGCTATTAATATCCTGGCATACGATAGCAAAGTATTAACTTCCAAAACTAGAATATTTGATCTTGGCAAAACATCAACTACTAGAGATAAGAATTAGCACCACTGTAATTTCCTGTATCATATGGTTCTCCTCTTTTCTGTTCTGGTTTTACTTCTTTCTCACCCTTCACTGAACGAATTATTCTCATCATCCACTAAAATATAGCAACAATAATTTCTTTTCATCATCCAAATGATAGGAAAGTACAGCCTCAAACTTCAGGTTCACTTACCGTAAATCCAACCCTTGCAGATGGGGGCAATGTTTTTGGATAGTCTTGCATCATACATTCCAATCTAGTGGATGACTTAAATGAAGTTTTGCTAGAATCTTTGTATCTGGAGTAAAGACAAATAAAATGTAAAGTAAATATATTAATAAAATTCTGATTGATATTAGTGAGCAAGAAAAGCATGCATTGCATTCTCAAGAAAGGGTTTGCATCACAAACTGAACTATGGCCTCCTTAATTAGTAGTAACATCAAAATTATATATGTAAACACTGAGAATCATCCCAAAGATGCAGTCTAGAGCTTCTTTGGAACTCCTTTGAAGCCAAAGTGCAATGTCTTTGGTTGTCATTTTCCTGATACTATATCAGTACACCCTAGTGCTAATCAAAAGCCAGACTTTGAGCTTTCACTGTGGCAAATATCATAATCGTTGCTACCGCATAAAAGTAAAGAACAGGGAGAAAGGAATTTACTTGGGATTAACAAACTCCTCAATTGCACCTCCTGTTTTTGTGAGCTCTTCAATGTAAGGGCCAAGTTCCAAAATCAGCTGCATGAATAGAAGAATCAGGTTCATCAGAAATTAGTTAATGAAATCATTAATAAAAAACTTGTCAATAAATTTTATATAAGCTTTCACCAAAAAAATGCCAAACTCAATCACACCCTTCCCTCATACTTTGACTGCTTTTTGCCCCTTATTGTGTGTGACCTCTTAGGTTCAACACTATTAGGTAGTAGCAATTAATGTCAAACTTTTTCAGCATTCCAGATTGAACTCTTTCTATCTGTATTGAATTGACAGGTTGAACTCAATCACACCCTTCCCTCTTACTTTTGACTGCTTTTTTCCCCTTATTGTGTGTGACCTCTTAGGTTCAACACTATTAGGTAGTAGCAATTAATGTCAAACTCTTTCAGCATTCCAGATTGAACTCTTTCTATCTGTATTGAATTGACAGGTTGAACCTTTCCACTAATCATTAGTGACACCTAGCAGTGTATCATGACCATCCTAATAGTTTGAATTGATGGATTGAACCTTTCCATCTATGGTTACCATGCAGGTAGACCCTTCTATCGTACAATGTCCCGAAAGAACAAAGGGTCATGGTGAATCTATCAAACCCTATTTGCTCAATCATATGTCCACTGAACTGATGATGACTCATATGGTGACACTTGGGACTCTTTCCATAAACCATACTGCCTTGATCAAGGACTTCTTGAGTCACATCAATGTCAGTTGCATAGGACATTCTCCCTCATGGAGGGTGGTAGATTCCATTTTGTGCATTCACATACCTCCATGTACAAGCCACCATAGCCAATTTGTGCATGTTTAAATCCCTTGATCAGGGTATAAGTGATTGTACAATTAAACTATCGAGGCCCATACACAAGGCATCCATGATGCCTCATAAACAAGGCATCCATGTAATTGGTTTATTAATGGGTTAAGTTCAGTAAACTTATTCTCTAACAAGCACCCACGCATTTGCTTTAGTGTCTGCACACAAGTGACTTGAGGCAAGCATAATGCATGCCAATCTAACCAGATTATCAAAGTCCACTTGATAATCCTACAACTAGAAACTGATTAAGAATCCCGTACCAAGAAAATCACATCTCAAACTCTTAGCGTACTTAAGAACATACAATCTTGACATAGAATCCAAGGACAATTCATGTAATTATGGAAGAAAAGACATGAATGACAAAAACGCCCAATTATTAATAATACATGCGAATAGTACAAGAATGCCCTTTCTAATTGGTTTTAGGGCATATGACTAACAGTTTGTGCAGGTGGAACAGACTAATTGGCAAGCATAATGCCTGCCAATCTAACCAGATTATCAAAGTCCACTTGATAATCCTCCAACTAGAAACTGATTAAGAATCCCATACCAAGAAAAGCACATCTCAAATTCTTAGAATACTTAAGAATATACAATCTTGCCATAGAACCCAAGGACAATTCATGTAATTATGGAAGAAAATACATAAATCACAAAAACGCCCATTTATTAATAATACATGTGAATAATACAAGAATGCCCTTCTAATTGGTTTTAGGGCATATGACTAACAGTTTGTGCAGGTGAAACAGAAATACACAAAGAAAAGAGGTGAGAATATGCTGATCTTGGGGTCTCTTGTTTTTAATATCAGCCCCTTGTTTATGAGTTGCTACCAATATTTTAAAATGCGGAGGTGTGACGCGAGGCGTTCCACTACCTAGAGGCGTGAGGCATAGTTCAGAACATAAGAGGCGTAAGCCTCCAAACACAAGGAGGTGTAGTAGGCCTCCCTCGGAGGAGGGGGATGAGGAGGAAGAAGAGGAAGGAGGATCTCATTTTTCTTTATTTTTAATAAATTCTTTTTTTTTAACCTTCTTTTATATTAATAAAAATCTCATTTTTCTTTATTAATAAAAATCTTTCTTTTTCTCTTTTTTTTCTTCTCTTTCTTTCTTTTTCTTTCCCTTACCTTTCTTTTCCTTTCCTTTCCTTTTTTCTTTCTTTTTTCTTTTTTCTTTTTTTTCTGTCTTTTTATATGAGGTATGCATGAGGCACATAAGGCATATGCCTCTAGCATGCCTCATGAAAAAAGCATATGAGGCGCATGCCTCTTACACCTAAAGCATACACCTCAGAGGTATCAGACTATCAGCGCCTCTGGCATACGCCTCCAGGCGTACACCTCCCACACCTTTTAAAACACTGGTTGCTACACTATGGTCAGTATCTGTTTTGGTATATTTGGTGAAATCTCTCTACCTGAGTCTTTAAATTCTTGTTTTTAATATTTTTTTATTTTCCTTACTATCAAAAAAAGTGCTGCCCAACTAGGACTGCAATCTATGATGCCCAGATACAGGTTATGGATAAAGGTAACAGAGATACTACATTCTTATTTCCTAAAATCTTGACATAAATATATTTATCAAAAAAATCTTGACATAAATATGGGTATGGGTATCCCAAGTAATATGCCTGTCATGCATATATATCTAGCTTTTTATGCTAAATGTCACTTCTCAAGACTTATGTCTTGTCTTTTTTATGAAAAAAAGTAAGGTAATTCATTAAAACACCACTATAGGCATGTATATGTCAGAGCCTTGTACAGAGAAACTGCCCACTATACATATTTTAAAAGTATCAATGCTACAAAGAACATCTAGAAATATCCATGCAGTATCTGTTAAGTATCAAATATGATATGCTAGGCATGTACAGGTATCTGGGTATCGTAGGCTGCAATGGGTTCAGGAAGGCTGAAATGGGCTAACACTCAAGGTAAGATTGGAAGCTAGTATTAAGGCTAATAACAGATTTAAGACTAGGAGTAGAAAGGCATAAATTGGGTTGCAGAAACTCGGAAGCTAGATGATGATCTCAAGGACTCAAAAGGACCTTTTGGGCAGCATTAGATTAATGGGTTACGAGAAAAGTTCTATAGATGGACTGTTCAAATAACAGAAAATAATTAGAAAGCAGACATAATAATTGGAACTAGGTTAAGGATTGTGTCCTCAATAGGGTTATTCATTGGCTGGAATCCCCGGATTTGTTTCACCAATTATCCTTTAATGATTTTTGGAGGAATTGGTCAGCATTGGCAAGTTGTTCCTCTTCCAAGGTTAGAGTAAGAACAAGTTGGGCACCTCCCCCTAAAGGCTTCTTGAAGCTGAATTTTGATAGTAGCAGTCAAGGTAACCCAGGCCCTTCCAGTTTGAGAGGGGTCTTGAGGAATGAGGCTGTGCGGTATTCTTCCTTTAGGAGTGGGAGACTCTACTAGAGCAGAATTATTAATTGCTCTGCAAGGTGTACAGTTTGCAACTCAACTAGGGGTGGAACAGCTAATAGTTGAAGGCGATTCCAAGGTGGTAATAAGCTGGCTGCAAAACCCAGAGTCAGTAGTGTCATGCTTCAGGAATGAAGTAAAGAAGTTCAAGTGGCTGACAAGGAATATGTGTAAGAATACAATGTGTGGGGAGATCAGCAAATGCCTTGGCTGACTGTCTAGCCAAGCAAGGGGCAGCTAGGGAACTTTTGTCTTGGGCTCAATTGTAATTTGAGTTTGTTTTGAGGTCGCAGCTTGCGCCTCTCCAAGGTAGCTTGTATTAGCTCATCTTTTCGATATAATAAAAGAATTTATTTATAATTGGAACTAGATGGCTTCACAGTAATATTGAGAAACCTAGGAGACTAAGAGAAACCAAATTACACCAATTCTACAAAATTATTAAATGCAAAACTGAGAGACTTCAAGGAGTGATAACAGTGAGCAGTCTTACCTAATATGCCATTGCAAAGGAAATAGTAAAACTACTGATCCATGTGAGAAATCTACCTGGTTTATATTTCCAGGAAAAGGAGAATAGCCCGTTTCACAATTCACATCTCCTTCAGGATATCCGGTTGCTCTAAGCAGAGGATCAAGCTGATTGTATTCAACATTAATCACCATTGTCCTCCCTGAAATCAATTTTTAGTCTACAAGTAAATACGAAACTTAATATGAAACCTGGTGGTCAATCAGAAGATAGCAGCATAGGTCTTTGTAATCCTATTGTAGAATAGCCAATCAAATAATTTCATAAATTAGTAAGTGGCGTCACTTAAAATATGTAATTGTTCAAAAGGATGATATAAGAAAAAGCAACCACATTCAATCTTCATAAAGTTAATTCTCATACAACAACAAGCATATAGTAACTATCTAGTCCCCAAAGCCAAGAAGCAGTGTAATAAGAAAATCACAATTAAAGCACCTTAATAAGCATCTTCTAATGAATTATTGATCCAAAAAAGTAAAACTACTTGATCCTTCATTCTATTTGATCCTTCAATCTTTCCATGGCCAAATAAGAGGGGAAGACTAATGTGGAGATGCACTAGAGTGGTGATATTATGGACAATATGGGAAGAAAGGAATTCAAGATTATTCTTGGAAAAGGAAAGAAGCAAGGAAGATTTGATTGAAACAATAATGGTTAGGGTGGCCCACTGGCTCAAATCTCTAGAAACCTTTTCTAATGTAACTATCGATGACATTCATAGAAAATGAAGGAAGTGGCAAATTCTGTCCCTTATACACCTGTTACTACTCATCTTTGGTCTCCACCAGAAACAGGATCTATCAACCTTAACTTTGATGGTAGTAGCGTGGGAAACCTGGGACCATCAGGAATTGGATGTGTATTTAGAGATGAAGCCTGGTGGGAAAGGGAGACTCTCTTAGAGCAGAGGCCTTGGCAATGATGGAAGGAATTCAAAGGGCAAGGTCTTTGAATATTAGAAAATTAATAGTGGAAGGGAATTCACAATTGGTTGTAAATTGGCTTCATGGTGATGAAATGAAAATGTGGATCTACAACAACGAAAAGAAAAAATTCAGATGACTAACTAGAAACATGGAAGTACCATTCAGCCGGTGCAAGTGTAGCACTAACTCTTCTGCTGATACTCTAGCAAAACAAGGGGTGGGACAACAAGTTCTGTTCTGGGCACAATTGTAAAAGAAGGGTGCAGTTAAGGGGAGAGATAAGTTGTTTTATCTCTCATGTCTCTACTATGCATATTTGCTCACTGTACTATACCATTTTTCTAATCTAGTGAAAAGTTAATATAATGATAAAGGATGCACTAGAGAGGGAAAGTACCATCAGCATGAGTAAGCCTGGTGATTCCTCCAATAGCTTCTTTTGCTTTGCGAGGAACAGCAAGAGAATTAACATGATACTGTTTAATGGAACTAACACCCAATGATGCTGGAATTGCCTAACACACACAAAAAAAGAAAGGAAATCAGAGAAGAACATTGAAGCAATACATCAAACACAGAAAATCAAACCAGAACAACATTTGAGCCACCAAACCTTGAAGAGAAGTCCATTAGTGTCTTGGAAAAATAGAACCCATTTTAGACCTGCATCTTTCCTGAAAAACAATGAAATTTGTAAAAATTCAAGCATGCCCAAACACAACATTCAGAACTAGGGAAAAAAGGAGATAGTAATACAATTACTTCAAATTATGTGAGCAATGAACCAGCATAAGCGACCAGTAACCAAAAGATATGAACAAGGAGTGGAACAAAAAATCGATAGGGTAAATAAAAACTATTGGATTAGAAGAAAAATGCATACCATACATTTAGCAAGCCACTGGAATAAAGAAGTGAATGCACATCGCCATGGCCATGAGGTTTCGTCTGCCAGATGCAGACCACAAGAAAAGGAACCAAAAAGTGAAGAAAGTGAAGAAATAAACCCTCAAAGTAATTACAATTTTGAAATCATCATCATCTCAAGAGTATGACTTGAACTCTTGTTATAATCTGTAAAATATGTGTCATATAAGAGTTGTACCTGAATTCTATATTTGTCACGTGGGTCTACTGCAAGCCTAGCATCATTATCATCTAAGCATGCAACCTTTTCCTGAAATAAATTTGTAGATTAAGAGGGGAATCAACCACTCCAAACATTATAAATCCAAATACTTTGTTCCAACAGGGCATAGTATTGAGTATTCACAAACCTGCTTTAAAAGTTTCACTTGTGTAGGTTTCATTCCAAAATAAGCATTTGATTCTAAAAGCTCCAAAGTTCTTGCATGTGTGTCATCAGATGTCATGATCACTAATGGTATCTGAGCTTGACATTGACCTGAATATTCCAAAATACCATCATTAGCAGAACACATAAAGAAAGCGCGTCACTAGTGCATTTCATGACAACAATTACTCCGCACACGCACACACACAAGGGCAATGGCGTCATCACTAGTGCATTTCATGCATCGATCTACAGCAAGCTTGAGACAGAAAGCTCAAAAAAGTAAACAAAAAGGGAGCCCAAAGTAACTGCATTTTTCAATAAGTCAAGTAATTCCTTTCAGTGATGATGAACAACTTTTGTTTACCAACCTTGGGCCAATCTACAGCTAGCATCTTGTAGAGCTAGAATTGATTCTATATAGTGCTGTAAGAAGCAAGTGCCAGTTGTAGTTTCTGAAGGAAGAGCCAACTGCAATGTATAAGCAGGCAGAGCTAAGAACACTGCTACTTAAAGCTGCAAACAAATAACTCTGTGATAGTATTACCTTGATCCCATTGTACCCAAGACGTTCCCCAAGCCCACCAGCAACAAGAACAAATGCAGCATTCCTTGCTTCCATGATCCCAGCTTCCTCAAACTTAAGGAAGTTTTCATCACCAAAGGTCAGAACCTCTCCTGATGGAACCTGCAAATAATCAATTTAACATCTCAAAACCTAGATTGTTAATACATGATTTCAAATTTTAAATTACATAGACAGATAACTGATTACAGGACTTTCTTACACAAGGCCATATGGGTCCCTCCTGTCCCATCAAAAGTCTCATTCATGGTTGGGACAGCTGCACCAGGCAAGTGTTTAACAATAAACAAGCTGATCACTAGAGGTGCGGACATCCCATCAACAGCATGTGTTTTCTGTAATTAAGGGTGGAAAATGGAAGACCACCTATTCACTGCCCATTTAGCTCAGCTGTGCTTTCATATTTTTATAAGATGGTAAATTATCAACAGTGCAGCCCAAGGACACTGATGAAGCTACTGGCTGGGTGGAAGTGAAGGGCCTGAGTGACAAAGGAAGAACCCTGTGGAGCATCTTACAACTGGTGATTATATGGCCAGTGGGGGAGAGAGAGAGAGAGAGAGAGAGAGAACTCTCAGAATTTTTGAGAACAAAGCATTATCATTATAACATGTTATCCAGAAGACAGTATCCACAATTCACTCATAATTAGCAGTGCATAAAGCCTTTAGTAATATCCCCCACTAGTCATATTTTGATTATGGGACTCTTTTTGTATAAAACTAAGGTAAAGGGAGGTTGAAAACCAATTTATTTTTGAAACGCACTCCCTATCCTTATCCAATGTATAGTCACTCAATGTAAATGGGCTATACTTGTACATGTTTCTTTTCGTATAAAATAAATATATTACTTCTTCAAGAAAAAAAATTACATAGATGGATAATTTCAAATAAATATTTGTATTAAATACCATAATTTCAAATAAATACTCAGGAATTAGAATATATTAACAGAAAATACTTGCACAAGCCACAAGCTACCACAAAACACTTTAAAAACAGAACAAGTGCAAAAAATTACGGCCACAATAGTGACAATTAAGAAATTCGAATATATAAACAGAGAATACTTGCTAAAAGCTACCACAGGACACTGTAAAAGCAGAAGTACAGAATATTATGGCCACAGCAGCAACAGAGATAAGCAGTGAAGATGCACCAAAAAAGGGAAAAGAAAGCGAAAAAACAACTTTCAAGTATCAATTATGATATATTGTCCAGAAACCTGCACATGGTTACATCTAACTAGTTTTACATGGCAAGTAGCTCCCATCATAGAAGTTCCCTTTGTACTTGGGTAGACTAGTTCTACATGGAAATGCACTTAATTCCTATATGAGAAATAGTAAAGGATCATTCCAGTTATTTTTTTTTTTTTTTGAGAAAGAGTAACAGAATTTCATTAGATAAAGAGGTGGTACATGAAAAGATGTACAACACACATGGGAAGCCCCAAAGGATTACACAGGAAGCAGCCTATCACTATTATACAGGAGATCTTGCTTTGTCCCATAGTTTAAGACAAGATTTCGTTTATAAGTTTCATAACAAAATAAAAGAAGATTTATTACAAGAGAAAGTCAAAAAATAATGAGTGTTGAGAAAACACTCAATCATAATGTAAATTTCAAAAGAACAACCAAAAACTCAACAATGTAACCAACCTTAAGAACAATGACAGAGAAAACCAAAAGAAAAACCAAGAAAAAGGTTCAGATGCACCATCTCCCCAGCAACCAAATTATCAAAAAACAGAAAAAACAGAAAAAAAAAAAAACTCAACTATCTTTTGATTCCATTTATTTCCAACCAACTCCCTATATCAGGAAAAAACAAATGCTGGAAGGATTTTAGATCAGAATCTAATCTGAAAATGATACTAACACTTCCACCTTTCATTCCTAAATCTTGTTTATAAACGGTTTATCACTGATCTGAACTGTTAAAAGAAAGATTAAAACACGAGTTTTGCATTTGATCCTGAGTATGGAAAGTCAGAGAAGGCAACCTCCCACCTCAGAGCTTCAACAAGAATATAAAAGCCAAATCAAAATAAGCTTTTGATCACAATATACCAGGACCAAATTATATAGTGCAATTGACATTTCTAAGTAACCAAATTTTTAAAGAATCTAGAAAAATTAAAAGAATGAAAAAATGACAGGTCATACAATACTTTGATAGCCCATGTCTTCATGGACATTTTGGAGGGGAAAACAAAAGAAGAAAAAGAAAAGAAAAGAAAGATAGGGATGTCTGTATGAATCATGAGCACCCTAGAAATGCAGAGGGAACAGCATCACACATAGTCATATCATAGACAGAAACCTTTTCATATGTATGGAATTAACTCAAATACAGATTTCCTTTAAATACTGTACAGATTTCATTTTCATTAACATATGATGATAGGTTTGATAAACGAGTTAAAAAAGGACATGGACAATAATACTGCAATAACTTACGGAAGGGGTAAAGCCATCATATGGATTTTTTCCTGCTCTTGAATCAGCTAAAAGTTTTCTGGCATTCTTGATATATGATGCCAAACCACGGGGATAGCTTGCATTAAGCCGAGCAACCTGGTGGAAACACCAAAGAAAATCAACAAGATAGACAAACGAGTTTAAGAACAGTTATATTGGTAGAAAGTAATATTCATTCAATAAAATAGATGCCAAACTAGAAAAGCCTTCATCTTGACAATTTCATAGACCTTCAAAAGGGAAAGTCAAAGACTTGAGCAATAAAATCAATATTTAAAAACATTTTTTGAAGATAAATAAAAAAGAAAATTTATTATGAATAAAAAAAAGATACAGAATATCCAGGTGACAACAAAAAAAACATCTTCAAACTTTTTCAGACAAATTACATGAACAAGATTCACAGTTCTCCAGAAATTTGAACCAAAGTCTTCTCTTCTAAAGCCTTCAAATTCTGGTAGAGTCAGCACCCAATCCATGAGTTTTGTTCTAATGGCAGCACCTATTTTCTCCTTGCTCTTTAGTTTTCCTTCAAAGATTCTTTTGTTCCTCTCTTTCCAGACTTCCCAACATACTGCAAAAGGGATGCAGCTCCATAAAATAATTGCTTTAATGTCACCATTGAAATCCGGCCATAGCACAAAAACCGCCTTCGACTCAATAGGTGACCATCCTTCCATTTTGAAGAGCTTAGGAAAATAATCCCAAATACTTTTTGAAGAACTGCACTTTACCAACAATAAACTATACTTTCTTCTGATAAAAGATAAAGCACAAATATGTTTGCCAAGTGAAAATCCCTTATCTTCAACTTGCCTTGGGTGAGAATGCTGTCCATTAACACCAACCACATGAAAGCTTCTACTCTTGAGGGATTGGATTCCCCATGACCACTTGGAAAAGAAAATCTTTTTTCATTTTTCTTCCCAGGAAGGCACCCTATGGAGTAAATTTCCATATCTTTTATGATGAAAGAAAGGGAAACCACTCCAAGATTTTTTTTTATTAGTAACAGAAAATATTTCATTAATCAAACCATACTGTTCACGAGAACAGCATGAAATCAAGTACACTGTAATGCACCGGCACGTCTTCAAAACTCTGTGAAACATCTAGTTCCACTAGTTCCTATTTCCCTTTTGGGTGAGTAAGCCAAAATAGGGCTATCTCATGGCTGCAATGCACTGCAGAAAACAATTGAGCCATAGACCTCTTTGAAATACACATAGGTCATTTTGAATAAACCACATATAGGCGGTGATTCAGGAATGCATGCAATAAAATAAAATTTGATGGAAGGAGGGAAAATTGGAAAAAAGAATAGCAGATGTTTTCCAATCTTATTCTCAGATTTCTTTTTCCTTCCTTTTATGAAACATAGCTAAGTTTGCAAATGTTTGACATCTTCAAGGAACATGGTGATAAGAGAAGGGAGCAATTGCGTAGTGATGATTTCTTTTCTTTTTTTTTTTTTTTGTTGAGCGTAGTGATGGGTTGAGAACTCTTATATAGTTGCATTTTCTCAGAACTCCATCATCTTTTATTACATCTCCCAATGTAGGCCCAGCCCAAATCCATTTTCAAGTTTTTATCAGGACCAGTAATAATGTGTAAATTCCAGCAGACCTATTTGCTCCACCTAGGTCCAGCTCCATATCCAGTGAAAGAGTTATTATTGTTCAGTCATTTACTTAGTCAGGTCACTTAATATTTTATCATGTATTTAGTCAATTGGTCGATGTTGGGTTTTGAAATGAGTTGATCAGCATAAGGAGAGTCCCTTACTTAGGCATCCTATGGAAGAAAGAAGCTTTTCTGCTAGAACCTTTCCAGATCTTTCTTTAAATTATGTGTTGAGATTTCAGATCTGTATCAAGTGTAAAATGAAGCAGAAGTATTGGCCAGGTTGAGTGGCTCCTTAGTTAGAGATGTTGAGTATAGGGCTGCAAATGGATCAAATTGAAAAGGATATACGTAGATCCAAATATGATTCGTTCATAATCAAATTCAAATCAGATTTATCCATCACATTTATATTCAACTCGGATTGCAAGGGGATATTGAATAGTATAAATAAATCAAACCTAAATTAACCAAAATATTTATTTATTATTAATAAAACGAACTAAAAATGACTTTGATATTGTATTTAATGAACAAAATAAATTGAAACTAGTATGAAACTTGAAACTATGACAATTTAGTAAAAACACAACATTGAAACCAACTTTATTAAAGGATATAATATAAATTTTTAAGTAAATATGAGCAATATATATTTAAATTGAATAAAATCAGATTATAATGGACTGAATAGGGCTGGATCCATATTTGATCCAATTATAAGTCAATCGAATTCGATCTTCCCTTAATGGGGTTGAATTCAAATTTAAATTCAGACAACCGAATACAGTTTGCAGCCCTGGTTGAGTGAATCCACCTCCCTTTTTTAATGGGTAAATGTCATTATCAAAACTATGCAATCTCCTACATACAGTTTGGTCCTTTTCACTTTTTGCAAAACTGTTAAATCAGAGAGGGAGTGCTAAGGTTGTAACAAAACCTCTACATTTCTATTAAAATATGATACAAAGAAGTTGGCTGCCCTACCCGATAAGCCTCCCACAAAAAAAAAAAAAAAAGAAAAAGAAAACTAAATAGACTCTTGTATAGAAGACTCAATTTCTGTATACAGCTCCACGATCTACTCAGTATGAGTCTTGCTGACCATGGACCTTCTGTTTCTTTATTGACCAACTGGCAACACTTTTCAGATCTGTCCTGACTGTCACGTTTGTAAGCCCCCTTAAGATAGGCACTCAGAATAACTGAAGAATGCCAAATAGCTAACATCAAAATTTGTTTCCTTGTTGCATGCACCAGCATAAACAAGTAGGTTCAATATTGTGATCCCTACAGATTCCACCAGAACCATCTCTGCCTTGATTAAGAGAACCATGACTACTTAATGACCAAAATGGAACCGCAAGTTTTGTCCATATATAAGTAGCTGAAGCATCAAGATCATTTCACCTTGAAGGTCAAAGTTTGCTAGACTAGTGTTGCATCTCCAAATATCCAGAACTAGATTCTAATTCTCCACCAGAGGGAAGTGATTTTTTTTTTTCAAATGAGTATCCACCTTGTTGTTCTACTATGACCTTGGAAGTCGGAAACCTTTACGGTTCCTTTCAGACTATATATTATATAGCATGCTCCAAAAGGTAATCCAACCAATGGTACCAGCCACTCAATTTCACAGGGAGTACCTTTTCATCCAAACAACTTCACCAAACCAGGCGAAAATCATCCTCCAAGATGAGTTGAGTAGGTGAAGAATGGCTCTCCATACATCATCCAAGAAATGGCGCTTGAAGAAGAAGAGTTCCAGATTTTCCTTGTGGTTCTGACATAAGATGAATTAAAAAGAATGTATAATGCCTAGCAGCACCAGCAGGTCTTGTGTGGAAACGCATACAATCAAAGCTCTCTTAGAAATAAAGCTGTCTTTTGGTATGCTAGGTGCAAATTCCACCAGCTTTTCCAAATCCAGTGAAGAACCTACCTCCAAAGTCCCCAGACTTACCAAGTTACGAAGTCCGCTTTAGTGGTTTTAGTAGAACCAAACATATGGTTTTCAAGTGGATCCAAACAAGAAATAGCATTGCGTTGCCCCTGGGCTTCAATGAGATCAGGAGAGGGGTAGGAATCCAACAACCAATTTTCCTACTTATGTAACTTACTGGAGAAAATCTGTTCAAAGCAGATTCAATTTCCATGTCCACTTAAGGAGCACTCCCTCGGAGAGCCACTTCCCGGTTTATATATCTTCAGCCTTTCACAAATCTGATTCAGGTCTGTTTACCCTTTATTTATGCATACAATTTTGTTGTCCTACATCATCTCCCAGTACATTACCCTCGTCTTATAACCATTTTTCTACTAAAACATTTTTATTTCTTTCAAATCCAACTGATAGAAATCCATTATGGACGCACTGTACATATTCAAAGAGCAAAGGAAGTTTAGAATCAAGTTCGTAATTTTCAACAAAATTTAAGACGGTTGCATAACTGATCAACAACAAAACAAGCTAGCACGCAGTAAATGCATTAAATAGGAGCCAAGATAACAAAAAACTAAACCTGATCGAAGAAACTCTTTTTCTCTCCGTCATCAACCCCTGGCTCTGGCCAATGCTCGAATAAATGACTCTGCCCCATCTCCAATAGCATCTTCGCAAGTTCAATCTGGCAATCAACGGCCATGACTATTAGATGACTATAAGCACGAGTCGAATTTACAAATGACAACGACTGTAGACATTTGGATTCTTTCTTGATATATTCAATTCGAGAATACCTGGTCTGACGAAAGAATGGGGAGATTCTTCTGCAGATTAGGAGCCGAAGCAACCCAGTCGCCATTGATGTCTAGCTGTGAAAGCTTCTCGGCAGCTGATCCGAGCTCCGTCGCCATCCTGTAACTTAAATTCCAACGTCCCAATAAAAATGAGCGGAGAACAGAGAATATGAGAAGCACAAGAGATCTTGTTTGAGTTATTTTTCCTTCTCTGAGCAGATCTCCGCAGGGAATTGAGCAAGATTAACGTAGATAGAGAACTACTTCTAGTTGTGACCGTGAGTAACCGGTAAAATCGTGAAGATCAGAGATGTGGCCAATCCTGAAAACTCTTCATTCTTACAAGTTCCAATCTGACGGTTTGTAGTGCATCATCATACAAAATTGGACTTGCTAGTTGTCATCGGATGGAAATGCACCTGATCCTAGAAATGACGTGGGGGAGATTGCTTCTTCTGATGATAAAGGGCGAAAGCTGTTATTTTGTTTTTTTTTTTTTTGGGTGGGGGGGGGGGGGGCGGGGGCGAAAATGTAAAATCAAAAGAGCATATTCCACGCATTTGGTGGCTTTATTCCCAAGCATTTACCAGAAACGGTAGAGATATCAGCGTCACCACTTACCTCACTAATGGCTAAATCATAAATGCATGAGTTCGAGTTCACATCGTCTGCACCCACGTTGACGTTACCGCGAGTAAGAAATGGCCCCAACACACGAGTTCACCCACGTTGCAGAAAATTATCTGCATATGCGAATAAGAAAAAACACGACGTTCGTATGGGTTTTACCAGTAACGGAATCCAGAATTAACGGACGTCTGGGCTCCAAAGTCTTTTAAAATTTGTTAAAATAATAAAATATAAAAGGAAAAATTTCTGATTGATACCTTTTATTTGGGTTCAATGAAATTTAAAATGGGACAATCCAGTGCCAGTGCTGTTGTTAATCAGCTGCTAAGTGACAATTGAAAAGTGAAAAAAGCCCTTCGAATGTCATCTAATTCTTTTTATTAATTATCCAAATGTTAACAAAAAAATTGAACAGTCACAAATCCTAGCCTTTTTTATTCAAAAAGGTTTTACTAGAATTTGGGATTATTCATTTTATTGTTAATGTTCGAATTGTTAGTAAAAAGAATTAAATGGCATTTAAAGGACACTTTTTATTTTTTAAATGTCACTTAACAACTGATTAACAGTATCATACTGGATTATCACATTTTAAAAATTCGAGTATTAGATTGTCACATTTTAAAAATTCAAATACTAGATTGTAACATTTTAAAATTTGGAGTCAAATTACAGGGTACCTTAAGTTTATCAAAAGAAAAAAAGAGACATATAAATAAGGACGGAAAAGGCTAAGGAGTTTTATTATAGGAAAATGATGCAACAAAGATGCATGCCTGAAACATGATGCAAGCTGAGAAAATAGATCCAACCATTTCCAACCTATTTATTAGAAAAACTGTTGCCAATTAAATTTCAGTAGTTGACTTTGTATTCATATATTCAATAGAGCCTTTCTGATAATGTGTGCCATTGGCATTAAAGGAACTATGCAAACATTATCTCGAAGAGGATTTTCCTGTATGATAAATCTCTCAAAATTGAAAGAGGATGATGGCTAAAAATTGTGCAAAGATCATTGAAAAATTCCTCTGCATGGTTTCTTTATAAAGAGTGATTCTATACTGAAAGATCCTAGTGACCGGTGGCGACAGCGATGTTTAATTGTCGGTTGCAGGGGCGTCAGAAGGTTGCAGCGGTGGCACAACCAGTGATAGGTCGAGAGAGATATCGAGAGACAGACAGACAGAGACTTTCGAAAGTAAAATTTTGAGTCCAGAAAAAGAAGGATTGGGCGGGATGTTTTACATTTTAACAAATTTTGAAAGACTTTGGAGCCCAGACGCTCGTTAAGTCTGGACTCCGTTACTCTTAAAACCATATGCACGTGGTGTTCTCTCATTTGCAAATGCAGGAAATTTTCTGTATCCATCTGTCCCGGATGTAGAGAATGTGAATTCACAACAGGTTTCTTTTAAAACTTGGAAGCCCATATGAGTTAGATATTCTGCCAACAAAACACGTTTCAATCCTATACTAACTTTATCTAATACCACACATCTCACTGAGATTAGGACCCACTATAAAAGTGGGACTTATGATGTATGAGATGTGCGGTGTGAGATTAAGTTTGTAGAGGGTTAGAATACGTTTTATTGACAGATGATCAGAATTCAGCCCACACATAAGGAGTTCGACTCAAGAAAAAATTACTTTTGAAGGCCCGCCTATCTCTCTCTCTCTTCTCCCTTCCTCCATTCTTCTTCAACCAAACAATGTTTGTATAAACATGGAGTTGGGTTTTGGTGGTAGGTAGGGGTGTCAATCGACCAATTTTGGTTTGGATCCAATCCGATCCAAACTTTATCAAATTAGATTTGGGCGATCCATTATAATTATCGAAAAAAAAATTGGTCCATATTTTTATTGGTTTGAATTAGATCTAAACTAAATTTCCAATAATCCAACCATGAGGCCAAGCCCTTGTCTAATTTGAAATCAATCAAAACTGAAAACAGCATAAAATCATTTTTACGAAAGCACTTTTATAAAAATATTTTTATGAAAGCACTTTTATTAAAATACTTTTACAAAAGTCCTTTCATGAAAGCACTTTTACAAATGTAGTTTTATAAAAGAATTTTTACAAAATCACTTTTACATGAAAGCACTTTTACAAAAAAAAACTTTATGGAAGTACTTTTATGAAAGCACTTTTAGAAAATCACTTTTATGAAAGAACTTTTACGAAAGTACTTTATTGAAAATACTTCTATAAAAGTACTTTTATAAAAACACTTCTATTTCAATAAAGTTCTTTTGTAAAAGCACTTTTATGAAAATATTTTTATCAAAGTACTATTACAAAAGTGTTTTTTCAATGCTAAAAGTGCTTTTATATAATTTTTGATATTTCATTTGGTTTGGATAAAAGTGCTTTTATATAATTTTTGATATTTCATTCGGTTTGGATCGGATCCAATCCAATCCATTTACATTTTAATGGATTCGATTTGTATTGGATTTGGATTGAATTGGATCTAGTCCATTTATAAGTGGACTCACATTGGATTGGATCTGGTTGGACCAAATCCGTACAATTGACACCTCTAGTTGTAGGGTGGATAAGAGTGGTCGATGAGCAAGAACAAATTGGCTTGTATAAAAAAAACAGTTTTTAACTATTAAAATCAAATAAAAAAGAAAATGAACTTAGTTGCATAAGCAAAAATTTTGATGAATTTGGTATTGCTTTGTTCAGTTTGGTGCCTAGAGTGGGCAGGGGTGGCCACAAGCTGAGCTCTTCGCGAGCTACTCGAGCTCGGCTTGGCTCAGTTTCAACCGAGCTCGAGCCTAATAAAGTTCGGCTTATGAGGCTCGCGAGCCGGCTCGAATAGCTACATATATACATAATAATAATAATAATAATAATAATAATAATAATAATAATAATAATAATAATAATAATAATAAAATTATAGACAATAATATATATAATAAAAATATTATATATAAATTTTATTTTATATATAATAATAAATAATTCTTATAATTCTTAATTTTTTAAATATCAAATAAAAAAAATATTATATATATATATTATAAAGCATTTTTCTCAAGTCAAACTCGAGCCTAACCGAGCTCGAGCTTATAAGCTTTTGACTCGAGCCGAGCTCGAGCTCAAGGTTCTATCTCGAACCGAGCTCGAGCCTTGTACTACCTTGGCAAACCAAGCTCAAATAGCTAACTATTCAGCTCGGCTTGAATCCACCCCTAAGAGTAGGTTTGGATTTAAATTCCTTTCCTTTTCCCAACTGTGTGGTGAGAGGAATTGAAAGCATCACCGGTTGCAACAACATTGTTGGTTGCAGTAGTGGGTGATGACAATGTTCGAGATTAAACAAGAACAGGAGAGAGAGAGAGAGAGAGAGTTAGGCGGGTTTAATAAAAGTTGAAAGCTTTTGGAGTCCAAACGTCCATCGAGTCTGGACTCTCTTAGCATCCTACACATTTAAAACGTAAATGTGACGTGTCATCCTCTTATTTGTTGATGCAGAAAACCAATCTCATAGCACATCGCAACCATGCATTAGAAATATTTACCTATGAATGATAATATATAAGTACTAAAGATGTTCTCAGTGCACGGAGTATGTTCCTAATGCACCATTGAAAGTGCTTTGAGATTGGTACGAGGAACTCAAAATTGGACAGAGATCAAGGGGGAAGAGGTGGTGGAAAAGTCGATTATTTCAACTCGGACTCAAGGAGTTTGCATCAGAGAACGAGGTGAATTGAACAGGAGCAAGAGGACACCAATGAATCTGGAAATGAGGTTAGCCACGCCACTGGATCCCAGGTAAGCCCACATTTGTTTCAGTATAGTAAAAGATGTAGCTTATTTGTATTTGCTTGGAACTACAAAGGCGTTGTGAGGAGAAACTTATTGCAAAATATGATCAATTTCATGGTTTTCAAAATCATATCGGACTGAATGGTAGGATCAGAAAAACTGAGAACTGGTCAGGTGATTGGCTCCATTTTACCCTAGAATCGTTATTTTGTCAAAAAATCATTGGTTTGGTCAATAAACTGTTGACCCAGGCAGTCAAATCGCTCAATGGTTTGGCCATTTTTTATTTTTTTGACTCGAACGATTGGACCATTCGACCCAAAAACTAGACCCCTGACCGGTTCATTGTCCGATTTAATTTTAAAAATCTTGATAAATTAGTTAAAAGAGGAGCTCTTGATTTTATTTTATTTTTTGTCTAAAACAAAAAGTCTTAACTGAGAAAATGAATAAAACTCAAAGGAGACTGAAATATCAAAATGAGTATATTTCCTCGAAGGGTCTTTTAGGAGGTTTAGCTTTACTGTAGAAGGAGAATAATATCAATGTGCATGGAAATTCTAATATATCGAAGTATATTTATTTTGGCTTTGGTTAAATCCTTCCCACCTTATCATGTCTGGTTTTTAGCTTGCATACCTAGCTAGAAAAAAAAATTGAAATCATTTTTATAGTACAAGTTTATATAAATCCTAATCAACATGAATCTTGTTGGAGTTCCATGTTTGATGGCTGGTGATTCCAATTATGACCTTTATGTTGATAATGAGTTCGTTGATACTAGGGGTGAGAGGGGAAATAATTCCTCCCCTACGAGTGTCTTTAAACAATTTTTGGACCTAAGGCAGCATTTGGAAATGATGCAAATGAAGTGTAAATCTCAGTTTAGGGTAAATTTGAACTATGGTTCACTTTTGTTTGTATTTAGTAAACATTACATTTATGCATTGACAAATGACAGAAAACACATTTAATAAGATGTAAAAGTACATCAA